GCTCCCTCAGCCCAAGAGATAACTGAAAGATTGTCTCTGGAGGAATACTGCTTAAGGATTCAACGACATTAGATTCGGCAATGTAGGCCCCAGATTTGGTAAAGTGGGTTTTAGTAAAACCAGTAACTTGAGCCAGGGTTGGAGACAAGAATAGTTCCCGAGGTTCACTATAAACAATTTCAACATTGACAATGCCAACTGATACCACCATAATTTTAAACTTGACATTGAATTTGGCATGCTCAAGTGCATCGTTAATACGCGTAAGTAATAGCTCAAGAAGGAGAGATTCGCCTCGTTTAAACTCCCATTGGTCTTGTCATGTAAATATCTCCATCGCTTGGAGTAGTAAAGAATTTTGATATTGGAATTGGCGTAGGTGGTCGAGGTGCTGGAGGTTTAGGTAGTGATGAGGGTGCCTGCAGGGTAATCTCAGCTAACCCACATTCGAAGGCTTGAGCTGGACAAAGCGATATGCTTTTGTAGAGTAAATTTCGAAAATTTGAAGAATTATTATTAGGAAAATGGTCCAAGCAATCGGTTGAACGTACAGTTACAAATTGGTCCAACGAGTCCATACTGCTTACTTATTCGTCTTCAAATTTCTCCTTGTTGACTTTTGTAATTTCTCCTTGGTAAAACATCCCACTCACTTGCTGAGGAGGGTCTGGTCCTGTCGTCGTCTTCAAACGCACAAATGGCACTGGAAATTGATTTAGAATTTCAGAGATTCTATATACGACTGGGTCCCATTTAGTGACGTAACCCTTGATAAAGGGGGATTTCTCGTGTCCCAACGTCTTTGAACTAACAAGGACCAGATCCCCTAAAGAAAAACGTATCTTTTCCGGCTTCTGCATTATGAATCGATGATAAATGTTATGCCAAAGTTGATCATTGTCCTTGACTGTATTACGCATTTTAGCAGGAATTCCTCCAATTACATTGTTCCAGCTATTATTTATTGAGTGGACTAAACTGTCGAGGGCGTCAACAAATCTTGTATTTTTCATCTTTGTTTGGTAGTGACTAATTTTTGTCTTGACAATTTTCACGTAAACCTCTATTAGTGCTACGTGGAGCGGGTTAGAGGTCGCCACGAGCTTAACATTGTTCTTTTTTAAAAACTCTTTTGTCTCCTTGCCCCAAAATTCTAATCCTCCGTCCGCGACTACCCGTTCGGGGGTCAGCTTGTATTGCTTGAAAATGAGTGCAAGTCCTTTGGCAGTCTCTGCGCTAGTTTTATTTTTAAGTTTAGCTACCATTACAAATCTGCTGAGACACTCAACTGCAATAAGCAGGTATCTTATATTATCATTGTTTCTGGCATATTTTTGGTAATCCGCTAAGTCTATTGCAAAGAGATATCCAATGTAAGGACACTTGTAAAACCTCCGTTTAAACTTGGTTTTAGTTGGGCGATGAAGTACAAATGTGGAGAGGTCCCGTAGTGCATTCACTACAGTAGACCGTTTCTTGTAAGTGTTATTTTTCATGAACGCCTCCACGCCACCGAGTGATCTTGGTTTGCGTTCAGCCAAGTAGTTTCGTTTAATGTAACGTGGATCAGGGATCGTGGAACTCATACTAATTTAAACGTGCCGTCAAAATTTACCCACTTACAAAATCCTTCGATATTATTATTCGCTACCCTTTTGGTTGGCGTTTTCTGCTTTCTCCTACTTTGGAGATGTCGTTCCTCTTCAGATAATATCCCCGGCGGCTGCAAAGGATCTTGCTCTGGTGTCACCACAATACTACTACTACCACCACCACCAACTTGTTCAAGACTGGCTCCACCTCCTGCTGGTTCGCCTGGAGAAATTAAGGCAGCAAAATTATGACTAAATTCCACGTTGTCAAATAACCTACTTTCCAAAATATAGTTCTTTAACAATTCCACCAAATTAGGTGGAAAAATCCAGGTTGCACCGTCGTAAATTATTTCATTACTCTCTTCATTCCAGTGGAATTTCGAATCACTATCGAGCCTTTGTAATATTTCCAATGCTCTAGGTCTCAATGCCTGGTCTAATTTTTCAATTAGTTTTTCACTTTGAGACTTGATTTCTTCAGGATAAAATTTCTCGAGAATTCCACTGCTCATCAACTCATCGTAAACTTTATTTGGAATTACACGCATATAATGGCTCATTTTTGTAAGAGAACACAGTCAATCCCTTGCTGTAGCAAATCATGCAGCATGTACATAAGTTACTAATTTACATAAGGCTACGTAATTTAAACAAAAGAATTTGCGCAGTGAAATGGTAGAAATATATTGACTCTTCTTCTTGTTGCTAAAGTACACAAGTAATGGGATAAAATTGTTTTTGGTTTTACCGTCCACTTTAGTCGTCAACAATTTTGCATTGATGCACAACTCGGCAAAAGATTTTAGCACATCCTCTGAGCTAGATTTTAAAAACGAAATCCGATCCTTGGCGTAAAGTAGCGTAAACTTGCGAAGAACCTTATCGTTCACATTTAATCCATTCATTGATTATTCATTGGGTAATAAACCTTGGCGTCGATTGACGGGAGAATAAAATTCCTAACACCGCCTCCAGATTCCAAATTTTCCACATCAATCAGTAAAAAATTAAATTTCTTCCTTGCCACGTCTTGAAGTGCACTTTTTAAAAAATGTTTATGGTCGGGAAAAATTTGTTGATTGAGATTGAGTCAACTGATCAACAGGATCTCTGATTTGGAAAAATTATGAGAACATTAGTTTGGGTCGATGCAAGGCCAAAGTTCTTTGGGCTGATTGTTTGTAAGGAAATAATACTTACCCCACGAAAAATGTGGTGAGTGTATCTTGTGACTAGGTTATTTAAGAGTGTGTTATCCTTTTGTGAGAGTCTGGTCATACAGTCATCAAGAATTGTCAATATTGAATCCGTTGAGTCTTCGGGAATTTCAGGAATTTCCCTATGAAATTCAATTTCTGGATTATTACGAGCAAAATCTAGCGGTCCCTCGTAAACGAAAATTACTCGAGTTATATTGGACTTGAAGATTTGGTCTCTCTTTTCGCAAAGGGTCCTCAAAATTGAGCTATTTCCACAATTACTTTTACCAATTACACAAATATTGCATGGGATAGATAATCTGTAGTCAAAAAGTTTGGTACCTTCCATTCGGAAGCTGCTTTAATACTAAAGTCCTTCCTGGGAATGAATGGTCCTTATATTCCATGGGTTGAGCACGGACTTTGCTTGTTTCCAATTTTAATTGCGTACCAAAATGCAAAAATTTCAAGATACGTCAAGTAAAACAGTAAACCTGCGTATCCCCGCTATTATTTACAAGAAAAAAAACTCCTCTCTTTTTTTTTTGATGGACGGGGGCAGGTAGAGAGGAGTTTCGATATACTTACATATTTACATCGCTTTCATGACTCCCGTGAGCCACCGACGAATTCCCATCAGAATCCACTTGTCGACGACGAGCATCTAAAAGAAAACAAGGTAAATTGGTAGTGGTGGTGGTGGATAAATTGACTGCAGTGCAAATTGGTTAGCAAATCCCCAAATTGCAACGAGAGATTTTTTGGCCAACTCTTCACCAATCGAGTCATTTTCAAGCCTGCACTTTCTCCGCAAGTTTACTGCCATGTCAATGAACGATTTCAACCAAGGTTCTTGGTTGAATATTATTGCTTTATGCAAGGCAACTACTTTCATTCCCTTCTCCAGCAAGTACCGTAAATGCTTATGTAATAGTACCACGTGTGATTTGTTGTGTACGTCTATTGAAATTCGTGGTTCTCTTAAAGGATCATGAGATCTTTTCATCATCATGTTGTATTCTTCTAGTTGTTGAGGTGAAAGTTCCAATGCAGAGATTATTCTTTTTCGGGGACAGAGAGGAAGAAGGTCTGTTTCGTCCCTCAATTTCTGACTATATGAAAGCGAACATTCTACAATTATTCCCTCGTTTCCCTCATCGGGATAGTGGAGAAAGTCAACTTTCTCCAAGTCATTCATGGTCATTCAGCGATATCCACTCTTTGGAAGATAGAATTGGCTACAGCCCGGAAAGCAATTGTTGGCATCCAAAGAGAATATAATACTCTTGCCTGGGTATGCCTTAGAAAATTTGTAATTTGACCAGCTCAACGCTGCTATCGTGTTGTCTTGAATCCATCTAATAATGTCTGGTTGTTTGCAGCACTCAAACTCAGCCCTGGAATTGGACATTGCCACTAAAAAGGAAAATGTTTTACAGTATAGCGGTGAAAGAAGGAAGTTTTTCATGGAATAGTGGACAAAGTGTCTAATTACGTCACTGAATTGCAATACAATTATAAATAAAACATTTTCCAAAAGTTTAACTGAGGTTTTGCAGTTTAATGCATGATAGATATGCCTCAATTCCTCAAATGCGTTTCTCGACATTCCTTTCTTGTTGTAATCTCGCAATAAATTATATTCTTCTGGAAACGTAGGATGATCTAGGAGGTTGGCGATAACTTGGCAAGGTAAAATTCGATATAATAATGGATTTGTCGGGTTAAACGCTGGAGAAATGTTTGCAAACAGAGATTCATATCCTTTGTGAAAAGCTGGAAACCATGAAGAGAGGTTTCTGGTGGTGGTTGTGGTAGTAGTGGTAAAAGTATTCCAAGAGGAGTAAAGTCTGCGGACGAGATCGCTGAGGTCGGCGTCTAAAAATTCTCTGCTGCCCGTGAACTATCAAAGGACGAGATAAATGCACTTGAACTTGGACTTAATTATGCCCTCCCTTTATTCAGACACAAACAACTAATTATTGAAGCTGGGATAAATGTGGAACTTTGTCTAGGCGATTTTGAAACCAGCGAGTCACACAAAAATCAAGTAAGAGCCGGAATTGCAAGGATCCTACATTCAGAAATAAACAAACCAAATAATTTGTCCAAAGAAATTACCTGGATCAAACCAATCTGCGAAAAATTAAAAAGTGACCCGAGCATCACAATAATTCCTGCCGATAAAGGGAACATGACAGTAGTAATGAATACCTCAGAATACAACAGTAAGATCCAAAATCTACTAGATGATCAAAACTACAATATCGTTGAAAAGGATCCCACTACTGCACTCCAGAAAGAAATACACACACTCTCAAAAGGTCTTAAAAAATTAAAAAGACTGAGCGAATCCGAGTTCCGTCACATTTCCCATTCCAATTGCAAAATTCCACGTTTTTACGGATTACCAAAAGTCCATAAGGCCAATATCCCTCTCCGCCCAATTGTGGACTTCCGAAATTCTCCTTCCTATAACCTAGCTCACCATTTGAATAAGATTTTAAAATGCATGACGATCAAATTTCCAACTAATCTCAAAAACTCATACGAATTTGCACACAAAATCAAGGATTTCATTGTCCCAGCAAATTATGAATTCGTCTCATTTGATGTCGTCTCATTATTCACAAAGGTACCGATACAACAAACGTTAGCATACATCAAGAAACGCCTTGAAAAATCTACTGAGTGGAAAACAACAACGAGTTTAACTTCAGATGAAATTATGAAATTACTCAAAATCACTGTAAAATCCAACTACTTCACATGGAAAGGTGAAATTTACAAACAAACTGACGGCTCACCAATGGGCAGTCCAATTTCACCAATCATCGCAGAATTTTGCCTACAAGAGCTAGAAGAAAAAGTTGTCTTAGATCATCCAGACATTGCCTTTTTCAAACGTTTCGTTGATGACGGTTTCGCCTGCATAAGAATTGGATCCAAAGAACAAATTCTCCAAGCCCTGAACAACTTCCATCCTTGTATTCAGTTCACATGCGAATCAGAAGTAAATATGAAAATTCCATTCCTAGATGTTCTAGTTACGCGAGATAACATGGGAATAGTTCATCGACAAGTTTATAGGAAACCCACCCACACAGGAAGATATCTCAACTATCATTCATACCATCATCCTTCACAAAAAATCGCAGTTATTGATGCCCTAGCATACCGAGCATTATCAATTTGTGATGACGAGTTTCTAGAGGACGAGTTAAAATTTATAACGGATTCTTTAACAAAAAACGGTTATCCCAGAAGCTTGATTAACATGCGACTTTCTAGAATGAAGGACAAATTCACTAACCAGTTGCAATCCCAAAATCAAGACCCAGAAGATCAGTCACCGAGAATAATTCTACCATACATGGGGCCAGTCACTCACCGAATTACAGCATTTCTACAAAAGAAATTGAAATGTAAATTTGGATATTTGACCGGAAAGAAAATGAAGCAAATTCTTTGCTCTTACAAAGAAAATCCACCACCGGATAAAATAGGAATTTATCGAATTCGATGCTCATGCCCATCAGATTATATTGGCGAAACAGGTAGACCACTGCATTTAAGAACCAGAGAACATTTGAATGACATCAGAAAGAAAAACATAAAATCGGCCCTGGCTCTTCACATGCTAGAAAAACCCAACCACCAAATAAATCAAGACTCAGCAAGTCTCATTTTACCGGAACGTCGAAATTTTCACAGAAAATTTCTTGAAAGTCTTTATATCAGAAAAACAAATAATGCGATGAATCAAGATCAAGGAATGAGTCTAAACCCAATATGGTCATCATTGATGTTACCCCTAATAAAAAACCCTTAACAACAATTTACAATTTAAATTAATGCCCAAAGGTTCATGTTTATCAAATATTTTTCCAAATATTAATTTAAAGATCCCTGATGATGATACAAGTGTAGTATCGAAAGCTCGGAAATAAATCTACTTTATATTAAAATCAACCATGCCTTCCGATAAATCTACTATAAACTCTGCTGCTTATTATATGTATGCTGTTGTTTATGATAAGCCCGATTACACGATTATCCTTCATTGTTGTATCAATTCGAAAAAGGCGAGGATGATTTGTGGTTAATATAACTTTCGCGTCGGTGTCCAATATTTCTGATCCTACAACAATTAAGCAAAATTTCTGCATCTTAGCATTACAGGAAACACACGCAAACGAAACGGTTGGGAATCCGCTAGAGGTCGCCCTCGGGTCATCTCCTCGTATGTAGTGATGGTGATGGGTTACGCGAAACCTTTTCGACGTATACTTTAATCCACAATACGGGCAAGAATCTGTACTAGCCGCGGCGTTAGATGGCGCTGTTGGAAATATAGCTTTAACACATGTGTAACTTGGGTGATACAGTAGTCTGAAAGAATTAAGAGTGACTCGATAAAGAATGTGCATGCATTTTCGCCAACGTAGCTCTCCCCGTGACTAATTTTGCCAAATGGATCAATTGCACAAATTGCAAATCCAGCCACCTCATTTGAATTATTAAATATGAGAATGTAGAAAATCTTGAAAGTGACGTCATTCTTCATCTCTTGGTTCTTGAAAGTGTAGTGTGTTTCGGATGGAAAGGTCATGACTTTCTCTCCTGTTCCGCAAGTCAGCATATGCAAATCATAAGTTTTGGGAACATTTGCTAGACAACGAGAACAGATTCGCAACCTCTCTAAATGTCGATCCCCTTTATTGTTGTACACTGTTGAAATATCCTCCATTAACACAGTAATGATTTTTATCCTCTGGTGGGGAAAGGAGTAAAAGATGCACAATCTCTTTCTTGCATTTATGTATCTGCATTTATGTATCTGGGAGTTACATGGCTAAGAGCTGCAGCAGAAGAAGAAGAAGAAGAGATTTATCATTAATTATTATGCACAATGACAGCTTTCTTTCATGCAGCTTCCCCATTCAGTTCAGGTTGTTGAGATGAGTCATCATCTAGATGAAGAGAGATATCTAAAGAAGAAAGTTTTAAGTCATTAAAATTCAAGTTTGAACTGTACACACGCACTGCATGAGTCATGATTCTCTGGTCAGAAGATGAGTCATCCGTTTTCAAGCGGCGGTCAGTATTACCAACCTAAAACACTGAAATCAGAAATTTAACAAATATATATAGCAGGTGGCTGGTGGACTCTCCTCACACATACTGAGGCAAGCAATCATGAAGAAAGCAACGAGTACCAGCAGCTGCAGCCATAGAGAAAATCGCATTACATGGGAGGACATGGTAGGAAATTTTGGTGGGGACAGCGAAATTTCCTCCTCAACAAATAACAGCAACAATTCCACCACAACAATGGCTTTACCCAGCTCACAATCATTTGATTTTGGAACTTCACAGGCCGACTTTCTCAAATTTCTGTCCGCTTCTTTGCAGCAGCAGCAGCAGAATTCACAGGATTCCGTACCTGCATTATACCAGGACGAACCGGTTTATAAACATCCGCAATTTTGGAGAGATGTAACTCCGTTTGGAAAAATCCAAATTCGTCAATTTTGGGACCCATTGGACTTTGCATATTACGCAATTATTCGCAAGATTAATCGCAACGAAAAGATAGGAAATTTACCAGACTCGTTGATTCGCATACCCGTGAAAGATATCGCAGATGTCGTATCGAGAATGCGAGAATTATTCACAGAGATTGACTCTACAAACGTGCGGGATGAAATTCCATCTTTGAAGGGCAACCCTTATGCTGCTATCGAAGATAGAAACGATGATAACTTTTGACATCCGAGCTTTACCAAAATTTGTGAATGAGGGCTTCAATTTCGGCCAATAAGAGTGCATAGATTGCTTTTAATTAAGTTGCTCAGTCCACGCACCAGTATATATGATTCGTGGAAGGGCGTCTCCATCACAATTCCCGTAGGTTGCCTGCATTACATTATCCACCAACTCGAGACATACGACCAGGATATCCAACAAGCAGAACAAAGTCGTCTGCTTTCACTTTCAGCCTGAGCAGCGGCGTGCATAAAAACGAGCGGAGAAAGCTTCACTTGCTCAGAAACATGCCAACTCCTTCCAACGAACACCACTCTCGTCTTACTACCACATTCATCGTTGCAAAAAAGTTTCTCGTTTCCCTCTGCTTCTGCTGCATATCTTTCTGCTGTGCTCCGTGATGAAGTCGGAAATTATCGCTCCAGAATCTCCTCATGTTCCCCGAACTGTCGACTCGTCGACACAAACACCATCATCTTCTCCCATACTGATAATACCAAATCCGCCAGTTTTCAACTTTGGGGCGGAGGATATTGAAGACTCAAACGACGGATTTGGAGAGACTAAACCCGCACCTTCATCACAAATAGAACTGTTGCAGAATAAAATCGCCGCTCTTAGGCAAGTAGTCCGCACCTCGCGAATTACGCAAGATGAATATCAAAAGGAAGTAGCCGAAGCAAGAAATTACAAGAGAAATTCCGCAAATACAATCCAGATGCTACTTAAAGGACTTCAAGCTTCGCAGAAACATCTTAATGATCAATTAAGATGTGCAGAGAAGACAACAGACCTCATGGGGCGAGTGTTGCAAATTTTGCCCCACTCAACGTCCCAATCTCCCAATCGACAAGATGATCCAATCCCATCTTCTTCTTCTTCTTCTCCTCCTAAAAAATAGACCTCTGCCTCTGCAGAAAAGTAAGAATTTTGTGTTTATAATAATTTTGGTTTTATAATCGTATAATAATCTTTTGTACATTAAACTTTTTTCGTTTGCAGATTTTTTCAGTATGATGACTCTTCTTGGCACTTTCTCCTCGTCGTTTCTACTACATACTCTCCTCGTCGTTTCTACTACATACTCTTCATAAATAATCTTCATGTGTGGGGGTACTTTGTCTAAAATTTGTAACATAAATGTAATTTTCAATAATGTTTGTATACTAAATTTAAAAAGTGTTTCCAACAATTTCCATAATTGTGTTGTGCAATAATGTTTACTAAAAAAGTTTTTCATGCAACTTTTTATAGCGTGAATGTATTGTCAATGTTTAAATTTAAAAAGTTTTTCAAGCAATTTGTAAGAAATAGTAATTGTCAAGTACAGTGAATGTAATTTGTAATTTGTGATTTATTGACTAAGAATGTAATTTGTAATTTGTGATTTATTGACTAAGAATGTTAAAATGCAAATAGGCGCCATTCACATTATCTAATTTGTGTTAAACCTTAAATACTTATTTGAAATTTAAAATAAAGATTAAGTTTTTTTAGTTTAAAAAAAACCTGTCTCAAATTTTGCAAACTCAATTAGCAACATGTGCATGAGAGAATGAAGCAGCCTGGATTAATTTGCATTTTACATGTCGAACTTTTCGTTCCTCGCATCTCATGTCGTTTTGATGGCCAAAATACATCATCAAGCCTGGATGGTTTTGCCACGGGTGGTGGAGACTCAACTCTTTGTTTCGTAGTCGTCTTCCTCGTTGTTGTGGTGGTAGTGGTGGTGGTGGCTGGCTGTGACGCTACATTAAATTGACGCAAACTTTATGCATGCCAAGGATGAAATATTTCACATATACATATGTACATACATACCATTCGATCTTTCTTTCTTCCAAAACGGGCCACTGGTAGTCGTGGTGGTGGTGGTGGTGGTGGTAATGTTGACCAAAAGGCGATGACGGCTCACATGAGATGAATCTAAATGAAACGAAAATTTAGTTTATAATCATGAAATTTCTACCAAACAGCACATTTATGCTTTTGCCTTTATTATCTTGGCGTTTCAGGGGGGCTAAAGTGGTGCTGGTGGTGGTGGTTGCAATGATTTTTGCAATCTTCCTCTTTAATGGCTTCTCAGCTATATTTAATTAATATTGTCACACATCCTTGCGGTATTCGGGGATAACACTTGATTTTATTTTCCAAATTGCTAGCTTTCAATGACCACGGTCATCTTCATCAGGCATAAATAGAAATCTTGGATATGATTTACATACAATTGTTTCATTTGACATGCATATACTTTGATCAATATGAAAAAATTCTAGCAAATAATTGTTACTAAGTCACAGCTTTAATTATAAAAAATCTAGTAGTGTTGAGGACCATATAGGGTTGACATTGAGTCCGTTGGATATGTTAATCTTGTGGGATAGCTTTCTGATGTGTAGTGATTCCTTAAACCTTCTGAAAAATTTTCTATTTTCTGGGACAATTAGTTTAACCGAGTTTGGATCTATATGGTGGTCATTTTCTAGCATATGAATGGCGACAGGCGAAGTAGTGCTCCCTCGTCTAATGTCGTTTTGGTGTTCAGTAATTCTGGTCATGAAATCTCTTTCGGTTTCGCCAACATAAACGGCCGGACAAGAATCACATTGCATACTGTACACTCCAGCTCTTGGTCTTATTATTTTCTGCTTTGCATTGCACAATATTGATCCAATTTTCGGACCAGGAAGATAACCAATCTCTACATCTAGCTTGTTTCTTAGATATGTGGCGATCTTTGAAGTTACGTCTCCAGCCCAGGGAAGAATAATTCTCTTTTTCATATCTTTCTCGTTTTTTTCTTTTGGAGGTTGTAGACATTTTTTCCGTACCCTTATTAATCTGTCATTGATTAAAGATGAAGGGTATTCATTTTTCATAAGGATTATTTTGGTTAACTCAATTTCATCTTGCACGTGTTCAGCATCGGAAAGTTTGACGGCACGAGTCATTAGGGTGTCAACAACTCCAATTTTATGTGCTCGTGGGTGAAATGACCGGAAATTGAGGTATTGACAGGTTTGTGTAGGTTTCCTGTAAACACAGTGACCTAAGGAAGAGTCATGTTTAGAATAGATTAGGATATCAAGGATATCATTTTTATATTTAATTAAGTTAAATTGACAAATTTACCCAATTTACAAGCAAAAAATACACTTCATTTACGTTTGCACTCCAGAATACGTCGCGTAATCTCGAACTCAAACTCTTGGCCAAACCCGTAACACTCAAATTCCTCGTCAAAATTTATCCCCACCATACATCCAGTCTTCGCAAGGCAGCTAGCGCAGTCGTTGACCAAGTCACAAGCTTCAGGAGGGCGAGGAAGGGCCACACCTAACGCCACGACACTGTAAAACAGCAACAAACCCAAATACATTTTACGTTGTTTGTACCTATACATGTAACTTGAAGGAAGGGAGGGTTTGTGTGTGATTCAAAGGGAGCAAAGAATCGATCTGATTAGTCATCATTGTCTTCGTGGTGGTCGAAATGAAAAATTGTTTAAAGTTGTCTCATTTTTCGCAACAGTCTCCAATTTCATGTACCTCAAATCTGTCCCTTGAATATATGTAGCTGGAATAAGATAAACAATCATGTCACTAGTCATACGCGGCGGCTGTGTCTGTGAAAGAAATGTTAAAGTCTCGGATTACTAATCATTAGCAGAGTTGTTGAACTTTGAGTAGCACACAGTCTGAAAGCTAATTCTTTACTCTCCTTCTCCGTCATGGACAAATTGAATTGTTTCGACTGTCTCAGTGTTTTTTAGAAATTATTTCGGAAGTATGGAGAATAAAACAACCCTCTGCTTTTCAGCACTGGGTCCACCTAAAATTTATTTCGAAAGAATAATTTCAGTGAAGGAAGAGTGCCCACAGGACGAAAATTCTTGTAAGTAAATATCCGAGTACATACATACATATATACTATAAGAAATTGTTTACATAGCAATGAAACAAAAATTCAATTGGTCATAACTCGTTCACCGCCCAACCGATTTCCAAAATGTTATTGTCGATTTGTAGACCATTAATTAGTGTTTCGAACCGCATGCATTATTTGTCTGGAAATATCAAATTATGGAATTACGAGCATGAGTAAAATTTAAATCCAAAAATCAGCGCGAAAAAATTGTTTACACACTTGCAGTCTTTGGCAGATTAACGATGGAAAATTGCTGCTCCTATCGAGATAACTTAATAAATTCGATGTATAGGTATTCTAGGAATAAATATAAAAAATAAAGTGAATGTCACTTTCGCAAATGGAAATTCCTGTTGAGATAAGTGAGCCACAAATTCATGATTAGAAATTTTATGGAGTCGATGGTTATCATACAGAGCATAAGCTACAAAACACAAGTTGGTGACATCAACAGCTTCAGACATTACACGAGAGTTAAAAAATATGAAATGCATTTAGGAAAAATTAGAGGGGTGGAAGAATAACAAAATTTTCCCGAAATATGTCCCATTTCTAGTGAGATTGGTCGTACTTAAACAGTAAATATGCGATGTGTGCGAAAGAATGATAAGCCAAAGTAAACTTAACACTTGTCAGGAACATTGGACTCAGGACAAACCAAAATACCACTAATATTGAAAATATTCAAACGTGCCCAAAAGTTACGGAGTTATATACCTCGAAAAATAAGTGCCGCAAATCGTGAAAGTTCGAGCATACATCATTTCCTGGGAATATGTCCTCAGTCTGAATTATTCTCATCCCAGAATGGTCTTCTAACTAAAAAGTATTATATTTATGTATGTATTTTATACGCATTTGTTCTCAACTCGAATATCGCGAGATGATAGAATCCTAAGATATACCATCTCGAGGAAACGTGAACTGAAACTCGTCGCGCCTTTAGGAGATAGCTCCGTAACTTTTAGGCACGTTTGAATATTTTCAATATTAGTGGTATTTTGGTTTGTCCTGAGTCCAATGTTCCTGACTAGTGTTAACTTTACCTTGGCTTATCATTCTTTCGCACACATTTA